CCTTGTTTGATCATTAAACTGTTATAATTGAGTGGACAGCTATTCTAACTATTGTTCCTGTCCTGTAGGATTGATAAGAATGCTTCATTAAAAGGAACAATTAGGTATTTGGGAAATTTCACTGCGTGGCCGTCGTTTGCTCTACAAATACAATCATGTCAGAGTTGATGTGGCTTCTTGTAAAAGGTCACAATGCCTTTCAAATAAGGAGAAAAGGGGTTACATTGTCAACGGAGAAAGGCAACTTGAAGGGCATCAACTCTTTCAAGTATTCTGGTCTTGCTCAATCGAAGGCCGTAGACATTCAGCCTGCAACCGAAACTTCTGGTATCGCTTACTCAAAGAAACGAACTAAGAAGGATGCTATTGGAAAACCTTCGAAGATGTTTCATACCAAAACTTTGAAAAAGGGATTCCCTCGCTGCACAAGGGTAGTTTTGAAGGAGCTCTCAACATACCGACCAGACCTCAAAAGGATCGCAATAGCAAGAGTTTCCAAAATTATGGCGATTCAGAAAATGAAGAGATTGGGAAAGAAGAGAAAGGTTAAGTTAGGACGATATTCGCGTTCGAAAAAGTAAAAGGAAATAGTTTGTTACAACGTCGACGGAAGACGTTAAAATTCACTTTCGGAAGTAAAGTATCCTTTGATTCTTAATTTTTGTTGTTAGTTGAGTTTTACGTTTTATCGTAGTGTAGCTTTCAACAGCACTTCAATTTTACTTTTATTGAAGCATAACCGCTGTCTCAAGTAACGTCAAATGTTAATTACTCACGGATGGAATACGTGCCAAGTTTGCACATCACTTCTTTTTGTAGTTACTCGGAATGACTCGTACAGTTCTGAGAGGTGAATAGAACCTGTTAGGACGTGACAGTTGCAGCTCTGCACAATTTTCAACGTAAAATAGTCAGAATATAACATAACAAGAAAAAACTTTACTCTTAAGTGACATATTCAAGCAAAATATCCTTCCAGATGATATTCCCTTAAATACTCAGTTTGAGTTTCTGAGTTGAAGGTAAAAAGTAGAAGCCATCGTCTAAACTGAAAGAAAACAAATTTCGAGAAAGATATTTTGTACGGCTTCCTCCACTAAAAACTTCCGCTAGTTCTGGAAGATGATGAAAATTCTTAGTCGTTGTTAAAACAACTTGTAGTACCTATATTTTGGCTACTTGATTCTCTCCCAATTCTGACTCTGCGTAGGCACATTATTTGAAAAACCTGAAGAAATCNCTTCAGTTGATGGTTGAGGTCCTNTCTTAGATGGACTCGGTCCTTTTGTTGGTTGTACTGGAGACGTCNCAGGAGAAGTTNCTGGAGTTGATGGACTCGGTCCTNTCTTAGAAGGACTCGGTCCTTTTGTTTGTTGTATTGGAGACGTCNCAGGAGAAGTTNCTGGATTTGATGGTTGAGGTCCTNTCTTAGATGGACTCGGTCCTNTCTTAGATGGACTCGGTCCTNTTGTTGGTTGTATTGGAGACGTCNCAGGAGAAGTTNCTGGAGTTGATGGTTGAGGTCCTNTCTGAGATGGACTCGGTCCTNTTGTTGGTTGTATTGGAGACGTCNCAGGAGAAGTTNCTGGAGTTGATGGTTGAGGTCCTNTCTGAGATGGACTCGGTCCTNTCTTAGATGGACTCGGTCCTTTTGTTGGCTGTACTGGAGACGTCNCAGGAGAAGTTNCTGGATTTGATGGTTGAGGTCCTNTCTTAGAAGGACTCGGTCCTNTCGTAGATTGGACTCGAGACCTCNCAGGAGAAGTTNCTGGAGACGATGCACACGAGAACTAACTTAGAAGGACTGGGTCCTATCTTAGATGGACTCGGTCCTATTGTTGGTTGTATTGGAGACGTCATCAGGAGAAGTTNCTGGATTCGATGGACTCGGTCCTNTCTTAGAAGGACTTGGTCCTTTTGTTGGCTGTACTGGAGACGTCNCAGGAGAAGTTNCTGGAATTGATGGACTGAGGTCCTATCTTAGAAGGACTCGGTCCTNTTGTTGGCTGTACTGGAGACGTCNCAGGAGAAGTTNCTGGATTTGATGGTTGAGGTCCTNTCTTAGATGGACTCGGTCCTTTTGTTGGTTGTATTGGAGACGTCNCAGGAGAAGTTNCTGGATTCGATGGATGAGGTCCTNTCTGAGATGGACTCGGTCCTTTTGTTGGTTGTATTGGAGACGTCNCAGGAGAAGTTNCTGGATTCGATGGACTCNGGTCCTATCTTAGAAGGACTTGGTCCTATTGTTGGCTGTACTGGAGACGTCNCAGGAGAAGTTNCTGGATTTGATGGTTGAGGTCCTNTCTTAGATGGACTCGGTCCTNTTGTTGGCTGTATTGGAGACGTCNCAGGAGAAGTTNCTGGATTCGATGGATGAGGTCCTNTCTTAGATGGACTCGGTCCTNTTGTTGGTTGTATTGGAGACGTCNCAGGAGAAGTTNCTGGAGTTGATGGTTGAGGTCCTNTCTTAGATGGACTCGGTCCTNTTGTTGGCTGTACTGGAGACGTCNCAGGAGAAGTTNCTGGATTTGATGGATGAGGTCCTNTCTTAGAAGGACTTGGTCCTTTTGTTTGTTGTATTGGAGACGTCNCAGGAGAAGTTNCTGGATTCGATGGTTGAGGTCCTNTCTTAGATGGACTCGGTCCTNTTCTTAGTAGTAGTGGAGACGTCATAGTTGGCAGTTATTGGGACGTCNCAGGAGAAGTTNCTGGATTTGATGGACTCGGTCCTNTTGTTGGCTGTATTGGAGACGTCNCAGGAGAAGTTNCTGGATTTGATGGTTGAGGTCCTNTCTTAGAAGGACTTGGTCCTTTTGTTTGTTGTATTGGAGACGTCNCAGGAGAAGTTTCTGGATTTGATGGTTGAGGTCCTNTCTTAGATGGACTTGGTCCTTTTGTTTGTTGTATTGGAGACGTCNCAGGAGAAGTTTCTGGATTTGATGGTTGAGGTCCTATCTTAGAAGGACTTGGTCCTATTGTTGGCTGTACTGGAGACGTCACAGGAGAAGTTACTGGATTTGATGGACTCAGGTCCTNTCTGAGAAGGACTTGGTCCTTTTGTTGGCTGTACTGGAGACGTCNCAGGAGAAGTTNCTGGATTCGATGGACTCGGTCCTNTCTTAGAAGGACTTGGTCCTTTTGTTGGCTGTACTGGAGACGTCNCAGGAGAAGTTNCTGGAATTGATGGTTGAGGTCCTNTCTTAGATGGACTCGGTCCTNTTGTTTGTTGTATTGGAGACGTCNCAGGAGAAGTTTCTGGATTTGATGGTTGAGGTCCTNTCTTAGATGGACTTGGTCCTTTTGTTTGTTGTATTGGAGACGTCNCAGGAGAAGTTTCTGGATTTGATGGTTGAGGTCCTNTCTGAGATGGACTCGGTCCTTTTGTTTGTTGTATTGGAGACGTCNCAGGAGAAGTTNCTGGATTTGATGGTTGAGGTCCTNTCTTAGAAGGACTTGGTCCTTTTGTTGGCTGTACTGGAGACGTCACAGGAGAAGTTACTGGATTCGATGGATTCAGGTCCTNTCTTAGAAGGACTCGGTCCTTTTGTTGGCTGTACTGGAGACGTCNCAGGAGAAGTTNCTGGATTCGATGGACTCGGTCCTNTCTTAGAAGGACTTGGTCCTTTTGTTGGCTGTACTGGAGACGTCNCAGGAGAAGTTNCTGGATTTGATGGTTGAGGTCCTNTCTTAGATGGACTCGGTCCTNTTGTTGGCTGTATTGGAGACGTCNCAGGAGAAGTTNCTGGATTCGATGGATGAGGTCCTNTCTTAGATGGACTCGGTCCTTTTGTTGGCTGTACTGGAGACGTCNCAGGAGAAGTTNCTGGATTCGATGGACTCGGTCCTNTCTTAGAAGGACTTGGTCCTNTCTTAGAAGGGCTTGGTCCTNTTGTTGGTTGTATTGGAGACGTCNCAGGAGAAGTTNCTGGATTCGATGGACTCGGTCCTNTCTTAGAAGGACTCGGTCCTTTTGTTGGCTGTATTGGAGACGCCACAGGAGAAGTTNCTGGATTTGATGGTTGAGGTCCTNTCTTAGATGGACTCGGTCCTNTTGTTGGTTGTACTGGAAAAGTAACTGGAGTTGATGGCTGAGGTCCTNTCTTAGATGGATTCGGTGCATTATTTGGTACTGAAGGTTGAGGGGTATTTTGAGACTTTGGTGTTGGTGCTTTGGGATAAGTTGATACAATTTGAGTTGTTGAGGGAATACTGGAAGTGTAGTGACCGTTTGAGTAATTTTGGA